ATGAATTTACAAAAATTGAAATGTCAGCTATCAGGATTTCGTTGAATAGTCGCAAGGTTAAGATACTAAGCTTGTTTATTTGATATAGCATACAATGATACAGTACTATTTACCAGGTGAAGTTTGGAGCATAAATTGTCGCCCATAATTGTATCACATGATGTCTGTTAGGTGTGGGTAGTTAATAAACACTGTCATACAGTTCTTAGGTTAATAAATGGTCACAGGATTTCTATTTGACTGCCGAACACAACAACAAGTGAATACTTCTGAGAAATCTCAGAGCATGAAGTAACGAGCGTTGGAAAATTTCCAACTTTTTAGTAATCGTCTCGGTTACATTTACATGTTTTGATCGATAATAGGCCACTTAATAAGTGTATTAAAATGTTTGTCTTCAGTCGAACAACACCATGGATGGAAAAAAACTACTTCATAATGTGAAGTATATGAGACATGAAGAAAAGCACACTGTACGTTAGCCTTAAAGAAATACATTTCTAAGGTTGCATCCTTCATGGACTGACATCAGTAAGAGAAACACCGAAAATTCGGGAACAATCCTAGTCCTAGTATGGGACTCCTCAGCATTACGCATATACAATCCTGCCTTGCCAAGGATCGAACACAGGACCTTCAGCTGTCCAGTGCTCCTAAGCTTTCAGTGTACAGTCAACCGGTTGGAAGTGAAGCGGATGCCAATGGAAGACCTCGGTGAATGATCACTCTATACTGCAAACTGACAGAAGTTGGCGACTCAACCATTGAACCCCAATATGGAGGCTTAATGGTTAACGCATTCACCGTGAAACCTGAAGACACTAAATTCAATCCCTGGTGGGGCGGTGTCGTATGTGTGCACTTCTGAGGAGTTACATGTAGGAATGAAACAGTTATTCAGTGTTCCCAGGTCTTCAACGGTTTTCCAACTGGATCAGTCCATGATGGATACTGCTTTGAAAATAAAATCCGCATTAACATCAAAATAAATTTCTTTATGAGCAGATCGTAATACAGGTTTAGATTGATTGGATAGGATAAGGTATTCATTCTGGCTCTATCTCTTAGTGTGAGGCTGTTCAATTTCCAATGACACTAATTGTAGTAGAAAACTGCTGCAAATTTTTTTAAAATATCTTGATACGGAGTGATGACTGAAGCTAACTGTACATTCTAAAATATCTATAACAGATTTGAGGCTTACTGTAGGCATGCAACAGAGACTATAAGGAGAGTATTTTGTTCTAAATTAGAAGAAGCTTAACTGGGACTACATGGAGACTGATGATTTCACTGATGAACTTTTAAGAATAACTCCGAATGAGGTGGTTGGACGTGAACTTACAGGAATCTGTGTACACTGGTGACGGGAATGCATGATATAAAGCTGGAACTAAACTAGCAATTTTGTCGCATCATCTCACGATCAATATGAAGGCAAAATATACGCAAAAAGCATAACAGTTCAACGTTTGAGTTACTCGTTGTTCTTGTAAGGTGTGTAGGGAGATGAAGAATCTCCAGTTAAAATATTGGAAATAACCAAAATATTCCCCCAAATTGGTATACAGTGATAAAGATTCATGAGCTATTGCATTGAAAAACCCCATATCAGCTTTTTCCTTGTTACAATAAAATAAAGTATTACTTGCTTGGTAAGTTTTTGGACGAAACACTACTTATAGCCATAAAATTGCAGAAGCGACTTTAACTCTTTGACTGTGTAGTTAATTTCCTCCTCAACTAAGCTGGTGTGTTGAAAAAGTTCCGGAACTCTGAAACCTTTTAGGAAGTTACATGCTACTACAAATTTAAAAATATATAAACTGCAAGTCAACTAGAAGTGTGAAAGATCATACTGAGCTGAGACAAGTTACCAAATCTAAGTAAACTGATAATTTAGCTCCAATAAGGTGCAGTCAATGACCTATGTTTAGAATAAGAACGATTGTTTCAAAAGAAGATGCAAAGAATATAGAACCTTTTGTAGTTTCGACAAGTTTAGTTGTCATCACATTATTTTACAAGTAGCCATATATTTTTGTACAAAATACTTTAGGTATAACTTTCCCTTCTATTCGCTTTCGCATAAGTTCAGTTACAAAGTTATTACATATGAATGTAGTGCACTAGTTTAGCCCGGACCTTCCACTTAATGGTAAACTTATTTATCAATCATAATGTTTAGGTTTTTAAACCATTAACTGCTGTCACTTTGTTCTGATTTTTTTATGTACCTACTTTCCACTATATAAATTTTAATGGTAGCAAAAGTTTCTTCACTAAGAAGATTTTGAAGAAGTTGTCAGGTGAATTTATTCCTGCCACTTTAAACTTTGAAATGTATAAAAACAGACAGGTAACTGGACAAGAAAACTAATTTTTGAAAATCAACCTTTCAGGTTCTAAACATGCATATACTAAATAAGTTATAAATCAGGATTACATAAAGATGAGGGTTTTATTAAGTATCAGTTAATTCGGAACGTTTCTCGATGGATTAATTCAGAGAACTGAATAATAAGGGGTGAAAACTGTTGTTTTTGGCAACTGAACGCAACTCATTGCCGTACTCTATGTATTCTCTATGAAGCTACACCAAAGATTCATTAATCACGGTGAACACGTCACTACTTAGTCATCCAGATAAAATTTACTGATCAGAACTTCTGACCTCAGTTATTCTATGATAATAACGCCTCCATAATGATGCGTCGTTGACGAGTGTATCTTGTCACTTTCATTTTGATTTGCGACATAAAACGTTTTGGCTTCACATAATCATTTCAAAAGAACTGCTCACACTACAATTCACTTATACATAGAGAATCAGTATTTGGTCAAGTAGCCTCTCCGGAGTCAACTAGCTTAATGACAGTTTATCATGCTTTCTGAGCATAATAGCCACCATTTCAAAATAACATTCAGGTTTTACAGTTGTTTTTAGTAAGTCTTTGGTTATTAAGAATTCAACAGCCAAATTCCTTTTGTTAAAATGGATTATGTTTATCAGTGCTTAAGAATATACTATTTAAAATACACGTTCGCGTGACGAGATTAGTCCTAATCAATACACCATCAAAACTATACCCAGATCTACTATTGTGTTCAGCTCTTTTTTGCTAAGATATAAAATCATCGAAATATACACAACATAAGACGTTAATGTGAACAGCTATGTAGCTATGGATATGTCAAGTCAGCAGTTATTTGACTAAGAGGAAAAAATTGACTTTTGGTGGCAGCTGACTATGGATAAGCCAGGAAAATTCAGGTTTTATTAAGTGAGAATAAGTTTAAAAATAGTTTAGAGGGTTCGAAACACCGTGAACATGATAACTGAGAGGGAAAAATTACAGGGAATCCCTAATACTTCAATCAGACTTGCTGATAAAAATTTGCTGGTGATATCTAGTGACTATAGTTCAGAAGCGCCAGTAGACATACCATAACCTTTTGGGTTTTACCAATAATAAATACCATTACCAACGCATAAAACCAGTAGGAAAAGCGGTTAATTAGAAATTTCTACTTTTCAACAGGTGAAACACTTACATAATAATGGTTTTTAAACATACAAAAGATAGTCGCATATTTCTATTGCGGTTCCATATATATTAAAAAACCTGTGCAACCTGTTGGCTCACTGGAGTCTGACGGTGGTTTCGACCAATCACCAAGCAGCAGATGGAAAAAATGTTAGACCAAAGGTATGCAAAGGTTTATAACAAAGAAAAAGCTGTAGAGAAAGAAGAGTATTCATAGGGAGAAGTTCAGAAAGCCAGTGATATTGTAAGTTCTTTCTGATGAACACAAGCATTTAGTATGGTTAATTTAATCTAATACTTTGATACTGAATAACTAAAGAAGGGATCAGCACATAATACGTGTAACACCAGTTCCAGAAAGTGTTAGTGTAAAAACCGAATTAGCGCTAGTTACATGATTACGCAAATTATTACTGAATACTATGCAGACTAACTTCATACTGAGAGAGATGTTTTACAGAGTAACATCTGTGCGTAGAATTGAACACATACCCATATTATAGGAAAGCCTATTAGATACCTATTTAGCAAGACATAAATAAGTTTTTGAGAAGTGCTGAGTAATTATCAGTGGGCGATAAAACAGTAAATACTCAAAGATAATAAAAGTTGCCTTCTGAATACAAAATTCTCAGAAGTGTTCTTAAATCAGTACGGAATAGTGCCTAAAAGTTAGGATCCATAAACGTTACCTGCAGAAAAATGAAGACTACTTATTTTTTAAATGGAGCTAATGTAACATACTGAAGTAACCTTAGGTACGAAAATACAGTATGTCTGAGTGAGATAAAGCAAAGCGGTGAAAGAAAAGCAGAATTCACTGTAAAATTAATGGTTAAAAGTGAATTATTTACCAAGAAATGACGAGAAAATCTTATAAATAACGGGTCCTTAAACTTAGAAACAAAATAAAAGCTATAAGATACCAAAATATTAACAGAACACCACATATTGTAAACATGCAAACGAATTTCAGCAGTATGTTAACGGCTTGTAAGTACTGCATTGACGACCATCAAAAAGAAAACACATGGGAAGATAGTCTGTTTTTCCACACTGTTCAGTCAAATTGCCCTATTTACAGTGTAGACTGAAAAAAATGTAATGGAGTTGATTATGGTACAAATAAATGTACTAGTTTCTTCTGAATTTGATTGGAATCTCAGATTTCAGGGATAAGAACGAAAAAAGCATATGCAATGATGAAAAGCGCCACACGCTTAAGTTGTGCGCAAAATTACATACACTTCTCTATATAATCCTAATATGCACATGGTTTTATTCGACTGCATAAAATTTTTTTCAGTGAATGTACTCGACATAAAACCGTTTAAGAGATTGTAACCTAGGAGTGTAGAGATCTAAGGAGATAATGCACTTTTGTATTGGAGAAAAACAAAACTGAATGTAAAGCTAGACGAAATGTGCACAAGAAAATCAAATATTTCTTACCTAAAATCTAAAACACGTAACTGGTCACCTTTCCGTGCGCCAACTTCTTCTGCTGTATGAGCTTCGTAATCAAAAATTGCAATGTGATAGTGTTCAGCCTTGAAACTGTCCTGTGTTAGGGATCCTGTCTTCTTTGGGTTAACGGCTGCACCACCAGAAGCCAAACTAAGTCGACTAGGTGAGCCAGCGTTTGGCGGATTATAAGGTTGGTGAACAAGATAGCGAGCAGACAGACCACCAACTGATGACCGATGATCAGAGTTACCATCTCCCACAAACATTGTTGGGGTGGTACTAACTGTCCTCCCATTGTAACTCATTATATTCTGCTCAATATTCTTCAGACGGTCAGAATCCATGACGACAGATGATCTATACGGCTTATCTGACTTATGAGTCCCTGAATCAATTGTAAGTGGAGATTCCATTGCACTTCGGGTAGCACTGACACACCCGCTACGAGAATACCTCTTGTTCATCAGAAGAGGTATAATATTCGATGAAGAGTGTTGTTGTAAATGTGAGTGGGACTGTACATGACTATTGGACCTATACGGTGTGCCAGTATTATGCAAAATATTTTCATCTGAAGATTCAGTTAGTGTTGAATGCCAATGAACCGGGCTAACGGAGAGCTGACCGTCCAAATGATCCACATTCACACTGTTTCGCGTTGTCGACTGGTGGAAACTCAGGTTTTTTGCCACGTGCTCAAGTGCCAACCTCTGGAGATGATAAGTTGCCGGGAACATGGCATCCTGGAGACTCTCATTAAAGTGAGTCCCAGGTGCAACATTTGTAACCGATGCTTGCGGAGTTGATAAATTTGATCTGCTTCCAGAGTTTACATCCTTCCCAAATAAAGTTTTATCATGGTCTAAATAATTCAAGGTATTATCATGTTCACATAAGATTACAGGTTCGTGTGTACGTGCATTACTGTGAAGTATTTTGAGAGAGTTAGATTTGTAAGTTTCAGGGACTCGTGAACATGACTTTATTACGTTTTTGGGAGGTTCATATGAGTTAAATAATGTGTTCCGGGTTGTATTTGCGTCAATAACAGGGGGAGACTCGTGCTTCCTGGCACAGTTACCCATCAAATATATGAAACACACCTACGACATTGACCTAAAATGTCAAATAGTTGCTGAAATATGACCTTCAGAGTACTCGCCTATTCATTCGGGTAAAGCAGTCACCTCCTCAATGCAAATTGAATCAAGGTATTCAAAAGACAGTTCTCAAATTTCTATTTTTGAGTCTTACGGAAAAAATTCTGTTTAGTTTTCTCTTTGTGAGCATGATGGTTATTTTTACACTTGTGTTCTTAGGCTGCTACGGAAGAATACTTAAATGCATTAAGAGTTTCGTCAAAGCATGTCGAACCTTTAATTACACCAGACTTTCTATCTTTAGTGGGCTGTTTAAGAATGAGCATAAAAGAGCAACGGAAGAGATGTCAGCAGGAAGTGCTGTATTGGAGAGTGTAGGATCCTCAACACTGAATGTCAGCTGTCCGAAAGTGTACGCTTTTGAACCTTTGTATACTGATTTTGCTGCTCTGATTTTGTCGTCCAGTCACATTTTCTCGGTCAGCGCGACGGTCGAGTATGCATTTCTGTGATTACGTCTGCACGAAATGACTGCCAACCGAAAGATCTTAGTGCGGATTTCAGGCTGCTATTCAGGAAACTGTAGAATTCTTTATATAATAAGTGGGAACTTCGCAGACCCCGAATATATCAAGATTTGACACTGAAGGTGTTAGAGCAAAGCATTATAAAGCTAAAGCAGGAGCACACTTTGTGTGGTATTCGTAATAAGAAAAGGCAGATGAATTTAGGTGGAAAATCAAGGAAAGAATATGGTAGATTGTATAGACACCAGAGTGGAGCGGCAAAAGGATCGATGAGTACTGGTTCATTTTTTATGTTCAGCTTGTCGTTATGTCATATGAGCTTATACGTTTCCACCGTTTTGATGATGAAAAGCATTCTAGCCAACCTTTCCTTTTAGGTTTTTCCGGTGGTGCTAATTTTAACAGTGTCGTTAGGAGTGTCTATTAAAGTATTCCAGTATTGATAGTGCGAGCGTAGAAAACTGATGGTTTTTGATCTCTCGCGTCTAGTTCTTAGGGCTCGGTTCGAGTTGTTCGGTTCATTCCTGCAGTGGACGAGGAATTTCCTTCTGCTCTCTTGCTTTCACTCCCGGTGGGATGGATATTTTGTTGGTTAGTAAGTTGTAATTTATAGAGTGATTGGGGAGCTACGTGTTGTTGGGAGGTTTAGGCAACTGCCGTGACTCCTGTCCGTGTAGGTACCTGAAAGAGAATAGTAGGGTAGTGGTAAACGAATGAGGAAAAGAAGAAAAAATAAGGGAAGAGAAAAACGAAAAAAAGGAAGGAGAAGAAAAGGAGGGGTGAAAAAGAGAAATAAGAACGAGAGAAAGGTATGCGGAAATTGCGCGGATGGTAGTGTGGGTTTGGAGTGTCTAGTGTTGGTTAAAAATAACCTGACTTGAGATGTGAACGATTTACCTTGTACAAATGAAACTAAATGGCTTTACTTTGAGTTAAAAAGTATTTTAAGGGAGCAAGTAATACAAACAGGTAATGGTGATGGAGTAAGAAATATTCGGTATGGTATCAACGTCAGCACATAGGAAGGATTGACGGAAACCATGACGGCGAATTAGAAACAACGAAAGTCCCCAGTTCGCCTTTGAGCAGTTCGTAATCGGTTTTGTGGGGCGAAAGTTGGTTGCTCGTTTCCTAGCTGACATGCAAAACACTGAAATGATTTCATTGGGACTACAGTCCGAGAATTCCAGCTGAACATGTACACAACCTAGAGGCGGGCTGTATGTAAATTCAACACACTAGTTGTTGTTTCTACGTCTGGGTTGCTGCAATTTTCATTTTCAACAGGAATTTAATATGACTAGAAGGAACAGTGAAAATTATAATCATTTGGCACGACATAATGTAAATGAATGTGTACCAGTTTTACAGGCATGAACTTCTTCGCAATTCAGAGTTACATGCACAAAAGTATAGTTCCTTTCAACGAAATCCCAGTGATGTTCTCTAAAAGCTTCAGAAGTGCTGAGTTGGAGTCATATCTGTTTATCCACCCCAATTTCTGCAGTGCTGTTTAAAAGACAGGTAATCCTTACGACTTCTGATCTTTTCAGATAGGAAACAGGGAGTCAGTTGGTTAGGCATAAATGGTGCCATCTGGTTTTCGCATATTCAGGCAATAAGCAGAGACCGTTTGAGGATACTTACTGGTAAGTACGAACTGCACTTCAGTGTAAGGGTGACGTTACTTTACTCTACGGTAATTATCTAATACGTGCGTCAGAAAGAGAACCGAAGAGGTATGAAAGGTAGCATTAATTAACTGAAACTTTCGGGAGATGATGCTGGCGTCGGAAACACGATAAGAGAACAAGGTGGGAAGAAGTTACACAAAAGTGAATTTAGCACTCACAAAGTACCCTGGGCGGTTTGAATAAAACTCTCTTTTTCATGTTTGAACTCAGGCCACTTTGTGGTTAACTAGAAACCGTGGCTGTTTGGAAGACTGAGAACTTGGGCCTCCGTTTGACTGGCTGTGGAAATAGAATACAGGTACTGGGATTTTGGCGGAAGGCATGATACAGGGCGTATATTGAAAGTTTGTAGGACCAAGATGGAGGTAGATAGATAGACAGATGGTCATGGTACCTAGTCGGTCGCATGGTCGTTTTCACATCGACAACTTCCATTTGAAAAACGTTTGCAGCATTAAAGCCATGAGGTATCCCACAGCTATTGTGTAAAAAGTCTGAAGACGATCTAGACTTCAACACTCTGTCTCCTATGCGCATTGTTAGGCCATTACCAAATCGCGCCATTCTTTTAGTTGGTCGCCACCACAACTATACCACATTGTTTCCCCACTTTTTTTCAATTCTTCTCTCCTCATCGTTAACCGCAGTGGCCTGCACGATGGGGGGATGTTAGAGGTGAAAGGGAACGGAGAACTGAGCACTAGTGGTATCACCAAGGATTTCTGATGACATATGGGCAAATCGCGGTATTTCACACGCTGTTGCCGACCAACGACTCGTGGCACGATAGGCGAAAGTGACGTGCATTTCAGCTAAACCTGGGATACCTGCCCACAAGGTCTTGTTTCAAGCACGAATTTACAGCTAAGTCGTCGAACGAAGGAGACTAACTGAAAAATAAATTTTTTCAGCGTTATCGACAGATCACTTGCATTTTTAGAGCCAGCGGCTAAGGCCTCGCATAAGATTTTGACCATAGCAACTGCTCCACTTCAAACTATCTTTGCACAAGACGCCTTCGTGCTTGAATGTGAATAAATAAACAAATAAACAAATGTTTTATTCTCACGTCAAAAAAAGTTTAACGTGAGAGAAGCCAGTTTACGGGTTTCATCACGTTGATACATCTCAAAATATCTACAAGACTTGAGCCCTGAGTGGTACTGAGGGAATGTAATTAAACTCAATTAGAACTGCTGAAGGTCCTGCTAGTTATGAAAAGAACAAGGAAATGTTACTTTACAGTATACATAGGACGTTAAAGTTTAGACAATAATAAATATTGTCTTCACCTAAAGTGTTTAACATGGGGGATACCAGTTTACAAGCACCGTCAAATTCATAATTTTCGGAAGTTTACAAACTGGCATTTAGTACTAAGTAGTTTGCATATCAAGTCATCAGTGTGCGCAGTCTTATTAGAATTTGCTGAAATTCATGAGACGGATTTGGATTTTTATCTCCCGTCTCAAAGACAGGTTCCACTATCAATATCAGAAGCGCGCAGTGTTCGCCCGATGGCTGCAGTGTTTGCACCAAAGTTGTTTCGGTAGTCGATGAGGCATTTGCATGCAACCTATGTCAACGATGGGCGCATTGCTGCTGCGACACCAAAGTCCCCCGACAATACTATAAGCTGATGAAGAGACAACCATGCAAGTGGTTCTGGTACATCTGTCCAGAGTGCAGGAAAATGCCCGCACTCCGCACAGAAAGCCTGAAGGAGATGCTCTCCGCCACGCAAAAGCTACCAGCTCCTCGAATAAAGTAGGGTTAACACCAAAGGATAACACAGAGAGACCTGGAAACAGACCTAGAGCTCCAGCTGCCGGCACGCCACCTCGCGTGGGGACCATATTAGGTCAAGTCTCCATACCTCCTACCCGGCCCCAGGGGACGTCAAGCGCATGGCCAAAGACATCGACCGCTGAAGCCTCTACGAAACCCATTCCAAACACCCCACACACCGTGACTGAGAAACAACCAGTGGAATTACTCAAACCCATTGGGAAGTCGGGCGTGCCACCCACAACGAACCCAGGTCACAGGAGGACCAACTCGATCATTTTGTTCAACGTCGATGTATCGACAGACTCATTGTTGGTCGAGAGGGAACGGTTTGACAGCCGAATGTGGACCGACTACTGTCAGATGCTGGGACTCCCTCCCCTCCCTGCAACTTTATGTCGCCTTTCTCGAGGAAGCCGTGCACCCCGAGATAAGCCACCCCCTTTACGTGTGTCCCTAAATACTGCCAAAGAGGCTGAAGACACACTCCTTCTCTCGCGACAACCGGACGTTGTTAATGCCTGTAAAATTCGGGCCAGGCCTGACAAGCCATGGTCAATAAGAGAGGAGGAAAGTCAGCGGTTGGAAATCCCAACAGAAACAACACTATAGTTGTACATGGGATTCCAGAATTGCCAAGTGACCGCTCGGTCAAAGATCGGTACTTTCACGACGTCCAACAATGGCAATGGCTCTCAACCAAAGTTGGTCTCAACAGTATACCGGCCAACAGCGTCAGTAGACTGCCAAGGCCAGCGCACCTGAAGACCATACCCAATCCCAGACTACTCGCCGTCCAGTTCGACTCATATGCCTCCCTCACAGACGTTCTACAGGCATGGTATAATGCGAAAGATCGCATGGGTGGCTCAATACGTATATGTGAAAGTAAGCCTAGACCCACAAGGCAAGAGGAGAGACGGCAACCACCAAGACCCTGGAGTCAGTGGTCGTCACACAGGCGCTGACCAGTGAGTTAGATACATCAAGTAAAGAAGCCACCACTGCCACAGCCCCCACCCAAGTTAAAACAAAACACAAAAAACGGAACAATGCCAGTCCTATGAGGACTGGCGAGGGTAGACCCAACCACATAAGCGCTC